CTACCCACCCACCCAAAACAACCAAAACAACCAAAACAACCAAAACAAACAAATAAACAAACAAATAAACAAATTTCCTTTTTCTTTTTTTTTTTTTACAGCTAAATACGACCTAATGAACGACCTCATGAGCTTCGGCCTCCACAGACTGTGGAAAGATCACTTCACCCAACTCATCAACTTTCCCCCCCTCATACCCCTTGGGGGCCCCCGGGGGGCCCCCGGGGGCCCCCATGGGGGCCCCCTGGGGGCCCCCATGGGGGCCACCCAGGGGGCCCCCCAGGGGGGCCCCCAGGGGGGCCCCACGGGGGGCCCCCTTGAGGGGGCCCCCCGTGAGGGGAGCCCGTTTTCTGGGGGCCCCCCTGGTGTTGAGCCTTTTAGGATTTTGGATTTAGCTGGGGGTACTGGTGATATAGCCTTTAGGTTGATAGATAGGGCTCTTGAACAGCAGCAGCAGCAGCTGCAGCAGCAGCAGCTGCAGCAGCAGCAGCAGCAGCAGCAGCAGCAGCAGCAAGTGTATGGTTGCAGTGGTGTTGAAATAACAATATGTGATATAAATGAAGAAATGCTGCAAGTTGGAATGCAAAGAGCAGCAGAAAGGGGGCTCCCCCCGTCCCCCCTAATAAACACACTAACCCCACCCACCAACCCCACCACCCCCAGCAGCACCCCCAGCAGCAGCACCCCCAGCAGCAGCAGCAGCAGCAGCAGCAGCAGCAGCAACAAGTATATTCTTTCTGATCGTGTTGATGATTACGGTGTATTGGGTGGTGTAGGTATTCGATGGGTTGCTGGCGATGGCTGCTGTTTGCCTTTCTCTGCATCTTCATACGATATAATACTTATATCTTTTGGTCTTCGTAATTTTAATTGTATAAATAAAGGAATAAAAGAAATATATAATATTTTAAAACCAGGCGGCCGCTTTTTATGCTTAGAATTCGCCCCCAATACACCACCCACCGGTGGCGGTGGCGGTGACGGGAGCTGCCTATACACCCCAAGCTGCCTATACACCCCAATTTTTTCTTCGATATATCACTGCTATTCTTCTTTATTTATTCCTTTTCTAGGCAATTTAATCACTAATAATTTTAATGCTTATAATTATTTACATCAATCCATACAAAAATTTCCTCCCCCCCATCAGCTAGCGCAGCTGCTGCAGCAGCAAGGGTTTATACATGTTTCTTATACTACCATGACCTGTGGTGTTGTTGCTATTCATTCTGCTCATAAACCTGCGGTTTAAGGGTTTAGTCTTGCTGCTGCAGCAGCAGCAGCAGCAGCAGCAGACGGTGCTGCAGCAGCAGCAGCAGCAGCAGCAAGCAGCAGTATGCAGCAGCAAGGGTTTATACATGTTCTGCTCATAAACCCGCAGTTTAATTAAGAGCTGCTGCTGCTGCTGCTGCTGCTGCTGCTGCTGCTGCTGC